ACCAAGGTCTCTGAGAAAGGTTGTTCCCCCAGGTAGGGATTTTCCCCTGAAGTTAGGGAGGGAATAAAATCCCTCAACTAAGTGCCAGGCGGGTAAGCCAGTTGGGTAATTAATCACTTTAACTATGAACAATCATGCTTAAGCTACATAATCTTTACTCCCTGGAATGGAGATAAGAAACGCCCTAACCTTTGTAATAGAGATTGATAGGATTGAATCAACTGGTATAAATACAGATGCAACAAGACAGCAAGGGCAGAACTCAGAACACAGAACGAAGAAGACAGAACTCAGAAGAAGGAACCTACAAAAACAGAAGAACTTTGCTGGAGAGAACATGGCAAAAGATCCTGCACTGAACCTGACTACAGAAATTGGCAAGAGAACCTGACTAGAACCTGGTGACTGAACCTGGCTGGAGAACCTGGACAGAACCTGGCTGGAGAATCTAGCAAGGGAACATGGCTACAGAACCTGGCTGGAGAACCTAGCAAGAGAACATGGACACAGAACTTGGCTGGAGCTCCTGGCTAGAGATCCTGGCTAGGCTGCTGATCAACGGAACGCTGTCTCCGTGTCCCTCCTTCTTCGCCGACTCCGTCCACACCTTTGGGGACCCCTGGACCTGCTGGGGTTGGACCCCGGCATCTGGCGCCCGAACAGGGACCCCTAGGTAAGCGTCCCACACTCAGGACGGATCGGACTCCACCGTAGGAAGAGGGTGGATAGTCTTCGCTGACTCCGTCCACACCTTTGGGAACCCCTGGAACAGGATTCCCCTAGGTAAGCCCCCTCCATTGAGAACCCCCACACTCGGGACGGATAGGACTCCACCAGGGTGCTACAGACCCCCCTACAGAAGATAAGTAGGGTAAGAAGGTGGATAGTACAGAACTTAGATTGAGAAGATGTGTCGTACTGAGTCCAAAGAAAGAAGACTCTGTATTGATCTTTAGATTAAGAAGATATGCCATACTGAGTCTAAAGAAAAAAGACTCTGTATTGATCTTTTAACATATATGCTTGCTAGCAGACGAATTAAGGTTACTCCCAGTCAGACAGAACGTTTTATACAAGAAGTATGTCCATGCTTTTCTGAGGAAGGAAAGGTAAATGTAATGGCATGGGAGAAGGTAGGCCCAAGGAGCCTTATCCTTAACCCCACTGCAGCCTTTCCACCCTGGGAAAGTGCAGGATTGGCAAGCTCTCCCTGGGATGATAGATCAGGACTCAGGTAATAGCAGAAAGCGCCAATCCTACTCTTAAAATGGATACAAGAGAGCATTTCGGGTTTTTCTTTTTAATGCCTGCTTTTAAAAAATAAAAAAGGGGGAATTTGCCGGGAGCCGGTCCATCCTTGCTGTTTCAAGGGACCTGGCATATATGGCATACTGTTCTTAATATGTTTGCTCACCTTCTTGGCACTATGTGTTTTAACCAAGGTCTCCTCTCTGAGAAAGGTTGTTTCCCCAGGTAGGGATTTTCCCCTGAAGTTAGGGAGGGAATAAAACCTCTTAACTAGTGCCAGGTGGGTAATTAATCACTTTAACTACGAACAATCATGCTTAAGCTACTCCCTGGAATGAAGATAAGAAATGCCCTAACCTTTGTAATAGAGATTGATAGGATTGAATCAACTGGTATAAATACAGATGTAATAAGACAGCAAGAGACAGAACTTAGAATACGGAACCAAGAGAGACAGAACTTAGAACACAGAACTTAGAACACAGAACTTAGAACACAGAACTTAGAACACAGAACCAGGAGGCACAGAACCTACACAGAACGTTCTCTAGAGACAAAAGAACTTCGCTGGAGAGAACATGGCAAAAGATCCTGGACAGAAACTGGCCTCAGAACCTAGAGACAGAACGTAGCGAGAGAACATGGCAAAAGATCCTGGACTGAGCCTGACTACAGAAATTGGCAAGAGAACCTGACTAGAACCTGGTGACTGAACCTGGCTGGAGAACCTGGACAGAACCTGGCTGGAGAACCTAGTGAGGGAACATGGCTACAGAACCTGGCTGGAGAACCTAGCAAGAGAACATGGACACAGAACCTGGCTGGAGATCCTAAGCAGAACCTCTCTGGAGATCCAGACCAGAACTTGGCTGGAGATCCTGGCTAGAGATCCTGGCGAGGCTGCTGATCAACTGAACGCTGTCTCCATGTCATCTCTTCTTCGCCGACTCCGTCCACACCTTTGGGGACCCCTGGACCCGCTGGGGCCGGACCCCAGCAGCCCAGGAGCAGGGAAAATGAAGACCAATGAAGACCACGGCTTTGTGTATGTGCCAGCAAAGCTATGGAGGCCATTTACCTGATGTCCTATTTCATACATAACCCTATACTGTATACTTTATGAATCAATAAAAAATTACAGTTTTTAATTAGAAACCCATGTTTCCTATCAAAATTACTTCTTGCGTGAATTTTGGGACACCCTTTATAATATGTGTCCAGGAGTGGGCGCTGTTCGGATCACGTTGCCCATTACTCCTTCTGTGACTACTTTGTTGTGTGTTACTGTGCCTTTTAGTAGAGACTTGTGATCCTGTATCTACTAAAAATGAGTGGTTTTGAAAATGACTTCCATGTAGTGATACTTGTAGTGTTATGTGTGGTCTATTATCATGTTCCATGCGAAATGTTTCTGTAATATTTATGTCGGGGAGGGTTGCAAGTGGTAGGGTGGGTAAATTTGTTTGTGCCCCTCTACTGCTGAACTTGCTGTGGTCGGCGGGAGCCCTGCCAGTTTCCCTGATTTGGTTTGAGTTTTGTTTAAAGGGGTTAGTGCCTTGTCCATTTTGGAAGGGGTTGGGATTTCATTTAAAGTTTCAATTTCTAAATAAGTCATTGTTTCCGAAAGGGTCATTTTGTCTGAATGGGTTTTGTGGCTGGGGGTGTTGATTATTCCTGAATGGATCATTATTTCTAAATGGATTACTATTGTCTCTGACTGAGTTGTTATTATTACTTCTGAATGGATTATTGTTCTTGAAGAACGGATTGTTCCTTCTCCAGTAATTAGCTTGTCCTTGTCTGTCCTGGTCATTCTGCCTGTTTTCATTGGTTTGGCTGTTTGTAAGGGCTTTAGAGGTCCTCTGTACTGTTGCATGGGGAATGACTATTTCTTTGATTCCTCTGCCGTGAAGGCGAATTTCTTTTCTGCTAACAGGTCTTGGTGCAGTTGGGTTTTCTTTTTAATATCCTCTGCAGTGCTGGACCCTGCGATAAGGTTCTGAAGCTGCATTTTGTAGCCATCTGGGCGTTTCTTATTAGTACGTTGACTATCCCTTCTACTTCTGAATTTTCCCAGGGTGAGCTCCAGTCTGGTTTAGAGAGGCTCATTAGAATCACCCATTTCCTTAACTGGGTCTGCAATTGTGTTCTGACAACTGTCCTGAAGACAGGTCCACTGCTGGGAATGCTCTTCTCCACGCATCTCCTACCCAAATCCCTAATGATCTTACTATTTGAGTGTTCTTCTGCAATTTCCTTTAGTGCTGTTTTTAATTTGGCTAATTGTATTGCATCTATTACTACTGTGAGTTCCTCTGCACTTAACATAGACGTGTCGCCTCCAAGTTCATATATATATTTTTTCTTTTTTCTTATTTATTTATTATTTTTATGTTTTTAAATTTTGTTTTGTTTCTTAAAGTATTAAAAGGGTAGTACATATGTCTCCTTTTTTAAAAAAAATTGTTTTATTGCTTAAAGTATTACAAAGGGTATTACATATGTCTCCTTTTATTTTTTACAAGCCACTTTACGTCTGGTAATTCCCCTTTAATCAGTAGTTTTCTGAGTTCTGCTAGTTCCTGCTTTGAAAAGGAGGTGAATTCTACTAATTCCTCAGTCCCTTCATTTTCTAATTTTATTACCTTCTTTTTTACTACTACTGGCTTGCTGGAGTATTTTGCAACTACCTTCTGTGCTAGTGACCTTCCCTTGTCAGTGTCCTCCTGCAGGTGACGGATTGTCTGGAGTAATATTCCTACTACTTCCTGTGGTGGCGCTCTTTCTATTATTGGAATCAGGTTGTTAGGATCTACTATGTTTTTGTTGAGGCCTGGGGCCATCTGGATTTTATATTTGGCCCTCAGGGTGTCCTCTACCTGTCTCCATTTACTTTCTGATGGTATGTTAGGCTTGGGAGGGCTGTTTCTTTTGAAAAGCTTGTTGAAGAGGTCTTTAACCTTCTGCTTGGTGCTGAGTGAGGGGGACTCTTGGTCCGTACCTACCAAACTGACAGAATGCGGTGTGTTCCTAAGGCAGTATGTGGTCTCTAGATGGAGAGTTGTTAGTTTTCTTAGAAAATTAGAGAGAGTTTTAACTAGTTTCGTCAAAATTTTGTTCATAAGTGCGGCTCTGCTGTAAATATATTCTTCAAAATGTTTCATTTTCCTTTTACTTTCAGTTTCCATTAATTCAGTTTCCTTTACTTTGAAGGGGAATTTTGATTTTGGACCGAACCTGGGCGACCCGGTTATGTCGAGTCTCCGGACTGGGAATAGGTTGGTTGGTATAATCTGCCAACTCAGCTCCGCTTGGGCAGAAAGGCTGCTGCGACCCTCGGGCCTCGCCATCGGGAGTCAGACTCGCGTGGGTATGCCCTTGCGGTGGACGACCACTGACCCGTGTCCTTAGAGACTAGTTCGCTTTCGGTTGGTGCCAGATTAATTTCCCCTTTACATTCGGTGGTCGTTTCCTTAATACGCTGACCGAAACCTGAGTGCTTTTGCCAATTTTAAATAATTATCCGCCTGCGCTGTGGAGAAATTTGTTTTGGAATCCTGCCGGCTACGCCAGTTGTCCCAATTATGCCCCAATTAATTAATTTTCTGTCTAGACTTAGACGAACGCAGGTGACCAGGAGTCAGCATTAACGGCCTATCCCCTGGCACTTCAATGTATAGACAGCTGAGCCGAACCAGAACACATGAATACACAAGACAGAATTAGTATGCAGTCACACAAGGTTTATTTACCTATTCCTAGTGGGTCCTAGGCTCCAGCAAAGGCCACCCGGCGATGCACACCAAAAGACGGACACAGACAGGTGGCCACAATTGGTTCAGGCTCACACAGCAGAGCAGTCAATCGGGGCTTGTCTCACGGAGTGACGTGAGTCCTCCTTTCATCAGGCAGGAGACGTTCACTGGGGAAATATCGGATGCTTAGATAGCTGGTGGTAAACAACTTGTGTCTTATCAGTGTGGGCCAGTGTGCCTTTGCTAGGAGCAGGGTGTTTACGCTTTAAGGACTTAGGGCATTCACATCAAAATAGTGGGGCGTTCACCACATTTTGGAAGTTACAGAGTATTGGGGTCTTCACACAGCAAACATTTCACACATTAATTATTTCACACAATAATTATTTCCACACATTAGAGGGGTTTCCTTATGACCATAACATTATTATAACAATGTTGTTACCAAAAATCTGAATATCTTTGTTAATTGCATTATAATAATATCTATAATCATGACATCTTAAATTTTTTTTTTAATTTTCCTTGTTTGTTTGTTGTCATTTAGAGACAGTCATTGTTTTACCCTGATGTATTTGCAAACATGTTACATCTTCAGAAATATCCATGGAAAAGACTCTGACTTATTCTAAAATATGGGTTTCTGACATATATTTGAACTGGATGAATATTCCTAGAACTCTAAGGAATAAGTAGATTCATGAAAATACTGACAAATCATCAATATAAATAAGAATAGATTATGGGACTGAATAAACTGAGGAAAGTTGTTATTTTTATGACTTTGTTCAAAATATTGCTGATTTTGCTCTAGATGGTATGGTTGCATGGTTACAGCACTGGCCCTCCAAAAGGGTCAGGAGGTTCTATTCCCAGTTAAGGGCTTGTACCTCAGTTGCAGGTTCAATTCCCGGCCATGATCAGTACACATGTGGATGGCAACCAGTTGATATGTCTCTCTCACATCTCTCTCTCTCTCTTCCACCCCTTTCACTTTTTCTCTAAAAATCAATAGAAACATATCCTCAGGCTAGGATTAAGAAGGAAAAAAAATATTGCTGATTTTTAAGTCATGTTTTCTTTTTATTTCCAGAATAAGAAGGCTTGTTTATAAAGCAGTTTAGTGAAGTATAACTTGATAAGCAGTATTAAAGCATTTATATTTTTCTCCCCTCTTATTCCCTCCAGAGTTTGAAAACTTCAATTATGAATATTTTTATTTTCATGCCAATATATTTGCTTACATGAATTCAATAAGAATTTGTTCTCTTTGTAACTGGACATTCTTGGAAACTGGTTTTATTAACCAAGATTTTGACTGGAATGTCATGTTTGAGAGAGGCATACATAGACTGTGGAAATTATGAGAAAGATTTAGAAAATTAAGATTGACTTTGGAAGCCAATAAAAGTCCCTTGGGGAAAAACAGTACCTTGCTGATTTACATGATTCATGGCAGTCTTCACAGGTAAGGAATAAAGGTTGCCTTCCTGAGAGATGGCAAAGAAAGGACCTCAAGACATTTGTGTGAACCTCAAGAACTTGAGGAATTTACCCAAAACTATGAGAATAGCAGGCTAATACTGATGGTTACTATGTGGCTTCTTTCTTCAACCTGAGCGGCTGATTGAAGTTCAATCCAGAAATTCCTTATGAGATTCCAGCAAAGAATATTTGAGGGAGCCTATATGGTCAATTTATTCTTGTTCTATTTATGCAAATAGTTAAGCCAAATTAAAATTGGAATTAATGTAGCAAATAGTCTTAAATTGATAATCTTTGATATAAATGAAGGCAATCTTAGGGGGAAATTTGTTTCAATAGAATTTATAATACACAGAGGTACATGCTAGGCCATAATGCAATTAATTGTTTTTAAAGTTTACTTTTCACCTGTAAATTAGATTGGATCCTGAATTTTTCTAGTTTTAAAAAATATTCTGGCTACAGCCTGCTGTTTTATTTTTCTCCTATCATTTGACTTGATATTATTGAAAACTAAAATGGTTTTTCTGATCTTTGCAATGGCAAATTGCAGCTAAAGAACATGACATAAACTTGAAAAGTAAACACCACAGCTCAAGCAATCTCAGTGGTGATTACTACGTAAGCCATGAAGAATTTACCTGAGCACATGTTAGCATCATCAGAGACATTGAAACTGCAGATAAGGAGGTTCTATCAGATTGTCACTGCTTGTTTTCATTCCAGCAAAAGAAACATTGAGTAAAAATCCAGAAATCTTTTTGACTACTAACCTTACAGACTCAAAAACTGGTTTATAGCAGGTGTGCTCAGTGGTTCAGCATTGACTTATAAACCAGGAGGACACTGATCAATTCCTGGTCAGGGCACATGCCCACATTGCAGGCTTGCTCTGAGTGGAGGGTGTTCAGGAGGCAGCCAATCAATGATTCTCTCTCTTTATTGATGTTGCTGTCATTCTCTCCCTCTCCCTTCTTGTCTGAAATCAATAAAAAATATCTGTAATAAGCTGGTTTAAAAATTGCTCTGGTCATTAAACTTTGTTTCTTTCTTCTGTTCTCATAGACATACCCCTGATTAAATACTGATTGCTTGCTTATACAATATAGTCCTCATATTGGAAGCCTATCTTTATCATTGCATCCTGAAATGATAGTCAACAATTTAACTTAACTGACTTATGCTCAGGAGTGAATAACCGAATCAATGAAGTAGAACAATCTACCAACTTAGTGTCTAGGATGTATAATTTTACTATTTAAAATTTAAAATTCAGGACTAAAGAGACCAGGATTCTGCCACCATGAGGCTTCTTTTCCTAATAAAACTAAAAGTTATATCTCACAACATGTTCAGGCATTTCATGCTAAATTAATGCCCAAAGGTTCTGCTACAGATTAATCAGGGAACTTCCATAGAACTGGACTAATAAATTGACAATGGGAATTGTATCCCACCCCACCATTTTTGAAACATTATTTCTGTATTTGATGACCTGTTAACTAATATGTGACTGCAGATAAAAGCCTGTTTGCTTAAGGATTCTAGGATCTAACTTCTAAAGAAACAGATTCTGACCTTCAGAAGTGTCAGTTCTGGGATATTTGCAGACCTTCCCTTCGACCAATTATTGTAAAAGACTGTGTTGGCCAGAAACCATCAACAAAACAATAAGAAGGCCCACTGCATGGGAGAACATATTTGCCAATGCTATCTCAGATAGATAAAGGTTTAATCTCCAAAATCTACAGGGAGCTCATACAACTTAACAAAAAGAAGATAAACAATCCAATCAACAAATGGGCAAAGGACCTAAATAGACAGTTTTCAAAAGAGGACATACAGAAGGCCAAGAGACATATGAAAACATGCTCAAGGTCACTAATAATCTGAGAAATGCAAATCAAAATGACAATGAGGTAGCATCTCACACCTGTCAGAATGGCTATCATCAACAAACGACAAGTGCTGGCAAGGATGTGGAGAAAAAGGAACACTCATGTACTGCTGGTGGGAATGTAGACTGGTGCAGCCACTGTGGAAAACAGTCTGGAGATTCCTCAAAAAAATTAAAAATGGAAGTCTCATTCGACGTAGTAATCCCACTTCTAGAAATATATCCCAAGAAACACCAATCAGAAAGGATATATGCTCCCCTATGTTCATAGCAGCACAATTTATAATAGCTAAGATTTGGAAATAGCCTAAGTGCCCATCAGCAGATGAGTAGATTAAAAAACTGTGCTACACATAATAATTAAATTGGCAAACACCAATGACAAAGCAAGAATCTTAAAAGCAGCCAGAGAGAGACAGAAAATTACCTACAAAGGATCCCCCATCAGACTAGCGACCGATTTCTCAACAGAAACACATCAGGCAAGAAGGGAATGGAATGAAATATACAAAGTCATGCAAAGGAAGGGTCTGAATCCAAGAATACTATACCCAACGAGGCTATCAATCAAAATTGAGGGTCAAATCAGGAGCTTCACAGACAAAAACGGTCTACGGGAGTTTATTACAACCAAACCAGCAATGCAAGAAATGCTAAAGGGTCTGCTGTAAATAGAAAAAAACAGGAAACAAAGAAGGAACGCAGCGGTAAAGAACAAAAATGGCGACTAACAAGTTTCTATCAATAATAACTTTAAATGTAAATAGATTAAATGCCCCAATAAAAAGACATAGGGTAAATGAGTGGATAAGAAAACATGACCCATATATCTGCTGTCTACAGGAAACCCACCTCAGAAAAAAAGACGCACACAGACTGATGGTGAAGGGATGGAAAAAGGTTTTTCAGGCCAATGGAAGTGAAAAAAAAGCCGGGGTAGCAATACTTATATCTGACAAATTAGATCTCAAAGTGAAGGACATAAAAAGAGATCAAGAAGGCCACTTCATAATACTAAAGGGAGCAGTCCAACAAGAAGAAATAACTCTGGTAAATATATATGCACCCAATATAGGAGCACCCAAATATGAAAGAAATCTTCTGGAGAAGATCAAGGGAGAGATTGACAGCAATACAATCATAGTAGGGGATCTTAACACCCCATTATCTCCACTGGACAAATCCTCTAAACAGAAACTCAGCAAAGCAACATCAATCCTAAAAGACTCACTAGATCAGATGGAATTAATTGACATCTTCAGAACATTTCACCCCAAAGTCACAGAATATACATTCTCCTCAGGTGCACATTTGTCATCTTCAAAGAGAGACCATATATTGGGTCACAGAAAAAGTCTCTTCAAATTCAAGAAAATTGAAATCATATCAAGTATCTTCTCAGACCACAAAGGCATAAAACTGGAAATCAACTACAACAAAAACAATCCAAAAAAATCAAACACATGGAGACTAAATAGCATGCTATTAAACAACGACTGGGTCACCAGTGAGATCAAAGAAGAAATAAAAAACATCATGGCAACAAATGACAATGAAAACACAACAATCCAAAACCTATGGGACACAGCAAAAGCAGTCTTGAGAGGGAAGTTCATAGCTCTACAAGCCTACTGCAAGAAACAAGAAACAATGAGAATAAATGACCTAACTCTACAACTCGAAGAATTAGAAAGAGAGCAACAAAAAAAGCCCACTGTAAGCAGAAGGAAGGAAATAACAAAGATCAGAGCGGAGATAAACGACATAGAGACCAAAAAAACAATACAAAAGATCAACAAAAGCAAGAGC